TGTTCTCCCATGTAAATTATCTCATAGTTCACAATAAAACATTCATTAATAAATAAATAAATACATTCATTACAAGTTTCTCTGAAACTGAAGCTGTCATTATATGTGCATCCCATGAACATGGAGCACACTTCATTTAAGCTGAGTTTAGACACAGAACTCATTAAGGAGTCCTCGTGTAGTGCTGTAGGATCAGCACTGCAAGGTCTGTAGTTCAAATCCTCAAAAACCCTATACAGGCTCACTGTGAGTGATACCAACTTGAGGGCACTTAACAAGAGGAAGGTGATTTCAGGCATGGACTTTACACTACTCCAACTGAGTTTTACAATGCCCAGTTTTGCAGTGTTTCAGGTCTAATGAGAAATCCATTGTGGTGACACTATTAATAACCTAAAAGGGTTATACATGCCTTCCCTAGAACCTACGTCTACAAAGATGTGAGGCGATATCTGGAAATCAGCGGCTTCTGGATTCAGACCCAGCCTTACAAACTGAAGCCTTCAGGGTTCTCACTTGATCAATTATAAAGTTGTTGTTGTTGTTGTTAAGTGCCCTCAAGTCAGTTCCGACCACATAGCAACACTGTATAGGGTTTCTGAGGAGCAATTGGTGAGTTTGAACCACTGAACTTGCGGTTCAAACTGACTTTGCAGTTCAGCACATTAACCCACAGCACCACACCAGGACTCCTATTATAAAGTAGGGATTAGCAATAGCTACCCATTTTTGCCCTATGGGCTAATGCATCAGTCAGACTACAAAGTCCTTTGAACTGCAAGGTCCATGGTTCAAGCTCACCAGCTGCTCCTTGGAAACCCTATACAGGGTCGCTGTGAGTTGGAACCGACTTGACGGCACTTAACAACGACAACAACCCGTTTTTGTAGAAAAGTTCACTGTTTACAACACATTTCAAATTCTGATCACTCCAGACATTTGTTGTTGTTGTTGTTAAGTGCCATCGAGTCGGTTCCGACCCATAGCGACCCTGTACAGGGTTTCCGAGGGTGTAAATCTTTACAGGAGTAGAAAGCCTCATCTTTCTCCCGCGGAGCGGCTGGTAGTTTCAAACTGCTGACCTTAAGGTTCGCAGCCCGATTCGTAACCACTACGCTACCAGAGACTCCAGACATTAGCAAGTATTTATCACTTTTTCACTAAATTCCAAATTCAGTTATTTGGAGACATGTTAACAACAAGCTAGTGAAGGGCAAAGACTGGAGCGCCGCTCTTCCTGGAGTTCAAACCCCAGTTTCCTCACCTTTCAGTCCTTTGACCTTGAGAAAGTTTCATAAACTCTTTGTGCTTCACTTCCCTTATTTGTAAAATCAGGAAAAACGAATACGTCTTCTATAGCGTTGCCATAACAGTTAAATAAATTATAGAAAAGACACTGAAAATAGTGTTTTAGAATAGCAACCCGAGGAGTGGCTGGTGAGTTTGAACCGCCAACCTTACAGTTTAAACGATCCTTGTGGTCCAGTGCATTCTCCTGCAACACTAAAAGTGCATTCTCCTGCAACACCAAATCAGGACTCCAAAAGAAAGAGAGACTACTTCATGAATTTGCACGTCATCCTCGCTAATCTTCCCTGTACTGTATTGTTCCAATTTTACTATGAGTGCTGCCAAAGAGAGCAGGTGTTTGACAATAGGTATTTAATGCTCATGTGTTGGCTATTACTGGTGCTGTTGTTAAGTGCCATCCAGTTGGTTACAATGCACAGTCACCTGGTATAGGATTTCCGAGAAGCAGATGGTGAATTTGAAATGCTGACTTTGCAGTTAGCAGTCTAGTGCTTATCCTACAGCACCACATCAGGACAACGCCAGGTCACAATTGAAAGGAGCCTGGTAGCATAGTGGATTACAAGTTGGGCTGCTAACCACAAGGTCAGCAGTTCAAAACTACCAGCGGCTTCACATGAAAAAAGTGGGGCTTTCTGCTCCGGTGAAAATTGATGGACCTTGAAAAACCAAAATAGGGTCACCATGAGTCAGAACCAACTCCAGGGCACACAACCACCACCACCACCAGTCATAATTGAAAGAAGTCCTGTGGCACAGTGATTAAGCACTGGACTGCGAACTGAAAGGTCTGCAGTTGAAGGCCCACCAATGGCTCCAAGGGAGAACGTCTGCGTCCATAAAAATGTTCTCAGAAACCTCAGGGAGCTGTGCTCTGCCCTATGAATCAGAATCCAATCAAGAGCACTGGGTTGTCACATTGGAAGGCGAGCTGGTTTCCACTGAGGGGGCCCTGGAGGTGGAGGTGTTAAGCATTCAGTGGCTAACTGAGAGGTTGGCGGTGGTTTAAACCCATCAGCTGCTCCACTGGTGATCTGTTCCTGTGAAAATGACGCTAGGGAACCCTAACTATCCCGTCCTAAGGTGCAGCTAAGAGTTGGAATCAACCCCACATCACACAAGAAGTACACTTTCACATTCCTGAGTTTATTCCTACAGCTCCTGGAGCCCAATGTACCCTCAAAGGCTCATCCGACCCAAGCCCTCCGTCTTTATGGCCCCTAAATATAACAGATGATATTTTGCAACTGTCCCACTTCCAGGGCATCTCAATTTAATGCTCCCTCTGTGGGCTATGACACTGTAGGATAAGTACTGGACTTCTAACTGCTAGATCAGTGGTTGAAATCCACCAGATACTCCTCAAAACCCTTAAATAGGGTCATTATGCATTGGAACCTACTCTACACTTAACAACAACAACATTGTAATACCCAGCATGTTCACACCTCTCCCTTTGTAAAACCATTTGTACACAGCGGTTAAGAGTATAAACTGAGAAGCCAGACTGCCTGGGTTCAGTGATCACACTGGTAAGTTAGGGTTCATGTCATTTTCTTTACCTCATAGATTTGCTGTAAGAATTTAAAAGTTAGTACAGGGAAGGCTCTGAAGAGTGCCGCTGAGTAGATTCTGACGCATGGCGATCAGGTGTACAGAGAGTAGAACACTACATGGGGTACAAAGCCTGCGATGCAATGAGTCTATGCACCGTCTACTGTACATATAGAGATGTAAACAGATGTTGGATATTATCATTATATTCTCCTTACACAGCCACTTCACAGCAGATGTCTAACACAGTGCCGTATTCATGGGAGATATTCAATAAAAGCTCATCAAATTGAACTGAGGTACTGACAAACTTGTGGCCTTTCCCATTCTCTTAGCAAGAATAAACTCATTGGATGATATAGAATAATTAAATATGCATTTGCTTATGCAGATTATCAGTACAGAATTTAGCATAGCATAACAGATGATTAAGCATAACATAAGATGGATTGGCACAGTGGCAGCAGTGATGGGCTCAAGCATGGCAACAATTGTGACGTTGGCCCAGGATCGGGCAGTCTTTCGTTCTGTTGTGCATAAGGTCGCTATGTGTCAGTACCAACTCGATGGCACCGAACAACACCAACAGCAGAAACAAAGGCTCCCAGACCTCATGTACTTACCACACCTTCCATCTTCTTCCACAGTCCTTCCAGTTGAGCCATGGGTTCACACCACCAATCAGTGCATTTTGTATATCGATTTCCTTGAAACCAAAATTGTCTCAGCCACTCAAACTCCACCTGTGCAACATAAAGAGAAGGCAGTGGTTATAAATCCTTGTGAGGGACAAACAGGATAATGACTTCATCACTCCAGTTTCCTCCAGTAACTTTACGACCACAGGGGGAGAAAAGCACAGCCTAACAGGCTCCCAATATAACTTAGAGCCTTAAGAGCAAAGAGGGAACCTTACACTGCGGTTCTCTTAGTAAGACATCCCAGTTCATTAGTCAGATGTGAAGAAACTATCTTCATCAACAACAAATACTGAGGTAATGCAGCAGACAGTCTGTAGTCTGAATGATGGGAAAGATATAATTAAATAGTACAAGCTGTTGTTGTTAAGCGCTGTCGAGTAGGTTCCAACTCATAGTGTGACCCAGTATAGGGTTTCTAAGGAGTACCTGGTGGGCTTGAACTGCCAATTTTGTGGTTCAAACCAACCTTGAAGTCCAGCGCATTAGCCCACAGCACCACACCAGAATAGTTTTTTGTATTAAATGTGTTACTAAAGACTGGTATTAAAAGCAAAATACCGATATATATTAAGAAATACCAATTTTAAATTTCTTAAATCTAAAATAAAGAATTTACCCATAGGCCAGGAAGAGCTGGTGATGATCTCAGCTCATAAAAATAAATAATATAAAATTAATTATGTAGGTGCACATTAAACCTCCAGAGTGATCCAAACTGTCACTTTGCAACTTGGTCAGGGCAAATGACAATAGATATTTTAAAAAAACAAAGTTACTAATAATTGCCTTCCCTTCCTATGAATCTACCGAAGTAAATTCTACTGTTTGCCTTCTTAGCATTCCTTCATTTTCAAGAAAAAACCTGCTATTCATTTGGCAACCAATCCCTGCCCAAGACTGAATCTACGGGCACTAGACAGAGCTCCAGCTCTAAGCAAGGACTGAAATGTGTGGCCCAGTTCTACACCAGTGTAAGAAATCACATTTCTCTGGTCACAGAGTGGGTACGTATTCAATCAGAAATATCTCAAGGCTTAGTGAGAAGATACACGAAGAAGATGCTGCAGTCGTTGTGACAACAAAAGGGGGAAATAGTCAACATAGTAAGAGGTGTGAAAAACATAAAAGAGCTTCTGTTTATGGAAAAATGAAATGAAAAGATAATAAAAAATATCTTTCTTTTTCAAAGAAAACGTCATCAGGGCCAAGACACTTATGTAAGTGATGATAGCTGACATTTTGTTGTTACTAAGTGCTGTCGAGTTGGTTCTGACTCATAGTGACTCTTTTTACAGGGTTTCTGGGAAGCAGCTGATGGGTTTGAACTGCTGACCTGTGGTTCGCCATCTAGTGCTGATCCTATGGCGCCACACCAGGACTCCTGCCATTCAGTCTACCCTTAAAGAACTGAGGGTCCTGGGAATTTAAATACGTCAGTATAGTCTTTTTTATATTATTAACTCAAGGAAAATGGAAGCTCTTCAAAGATTTTTAAAAATTAGGAACCAAAAAGAAGTCAGAAGGACTCAAATCAGGACTACATGGTGAATGCCTAAAGATTACCCATAGAAACTCTTGCAAAATTTCCCTTATTTGATTGCAGGAATGAGCAGAAGTATGTTCACAATGGAGAAGGGCTCCTGAGAGTTTTTCTGCTAAAATTTTGGCTTTCTCAAAACACTGTCGTAATAAGCAGATTGTTAGCGTTCTACGGTCCTCCAGAAAGTCAATAAGTAACAGGCACTGAGCATCACAGAAACGTGTTGCCATGACCTTTGCTCTTGACTGATCTACTTATGCTTTGGCTAGACCACTTGTACCTCTTGGTAGTCATTGCTTTGACTGTGCTTTGTCTTCAGGGTCTTCCTGATAAAAAGCCAAATTTCATCTCCTGTTACAATTTTTTTAGGACATGCTTCAGGATCTTGATCCCACTTGTTTAAAGCTCTGTTCTTGTCTGAAGTAGTGGATCTCGGAGCCACAGTTTTGGCATCTATCAAGTGGAAACTTTGCACAACTTAAGTTTTTCAGTCAGAATTTTGAAACAGAACCAACTAAATTGTCTATGGTGTTGGCTCTTGGTTCTACTGCTAATCATCATTGGTCTTCCATAATTAGGGCACAGACAAGATTTATTGCTTCATCATCAACATCATCTCATCCCTTCCTAACACTAGTTACCGATTGGTAAACAGCTGAGATATATGGAGCAACGTCCCCATAAACTTTTTAAAGCGTTAATGATTTCACTATTCTTCTATCCAAGCTTCACTGTATTATTTTCATGTTTGTTCTTGCTTCCATTTTAGCAGAGTTCATGTTGCTCTGATAAGGGTTATTTTCCAACTGATGTCCTACACTTCTCAGTGACTCAACCTAGGTCCTGCTTTGACATGTTATAACCAGTTGTTGTTGTTAAGTGCTGTCAAGTCGGTTCCAACTCATAGCGACCCTGTGTAGGATTTCCAAGGAGCAGCTGGTGGGTTTGAACTGCCAACCTTATGGTTCACAGATCACAGCCTCACCAATTTTTTTATTTTTTTAATCCATGCATAGTTTTTCCAAAATATGCATTTCCCATAAAATTTTAGAGACCTCTTATAAAAACTAGGTATTGGTGACATCAATTATCCCTTGATTAAGCTATTTCTGAAGACCTTTTCACTTAAGCCAATTCAAATTGCATTTTCTGCCCCTTGCAACTGAAATAATCCCAAAATATTTACATGAAAGGCTGAGTAAAGCTTTGGAAAGCACATGTCTTCCTATCCACGAGTTATTAAGTGCCATCAAGACTCAAAGCAATCCTATTTCCAAGAAAGTTGGAACCACCAACCTTGAGGTTAGCAGTCCAGTGGTTACCCTATAGTGCCACACCAGGCTTTAAAAGGTTGATGTAAAAATCTGTTATCTTTCAACACCATTTTTTCCAAGGAAGCCTCCTCATATTTTCCAAGTCTTCTATCTCTCATCTTCCACTTGAAAATCCGATTTTACTATCACAGTACAACTCCATGGCAAACTCTTTTTATCTCTACCATCTAAATAAATGCAGAGCTCCCCAGCTTAAAGCTGGGTTGTCTGGTTTTGCTAAGGTAATCAAATTTCACATACAGACGCAGACGCAGGGCTATTATAATCGTCACCTGTTACCACAAAGAATTTTTTATTTGTTTATCCATATTGAACTTTCCATGAGGCAAACAAACGCAACTTGTGAAGATTTAACAATAGTGAAAATGGCTCAAATAACTAACCTGAGAACACCAAATCATATGAAAGTCTTTGGATTACATTAACTAAATGATTGTTGAAAATGTAGAATGGATTTCAGTTAAAGCTGCTTAAACAAACAAACAAAAAAGAAATATAGACAATATTACAACAACAATTGTTAAACCTTATCTGGTATTAAAAGACAGTAGTTAACAGAAGTAAACTTGAGTTCTGTGAAAGGAGAATGAATACAAGTGTGGCTCAATTTCTGTGAAGATACAGGTTTTACAACTTTATGACCAAAACAGAGAGTCCTTTTTAATGAACTTCACATAAAATTTGTTCACATTACAAGAGCAGGTTGTCAGCACAGCATTGAGCCTATGTTAGAAAGAGCTGACAGATGTTTAAAGGTTTTTCCACATTTAGCCCGGTTATTTCCATCAAAGACGACAAAATACATAAGCCATGCTGTCCCAAGAAAGAAAACGGATGTAATTACCACATATAATTACAAATGTTGTTGTTGTTGCTAAGTGCCCTCAAATTGATTCCCTCTCACAGCGACCTTGTATATGGTTTCCTGGGAGCAGCTGATGAGTTTGAACTGCTGACCTTGCAGTTCAGCACCACAGATAGTCTCCTATTTACGACAGGGTTCCATTCTGATAAATACCTCATTTATTTATTAGTTTTCATTATTATTGCCTTTTACTATCAATATCTTTATAAATCCCATCTTGCTTTGTCTGTGGGGGCTGGAAACATTACATGTAACCATCTGAGAATGATGTCAGCAAAGTATGAGCTGCAACGTGGTCTGGAGTAAAAACGGCAGTCATCAGTGCAGTCCATCCACCCTGCCAGGACACACTACAGTCTGGAAACTTCGGAGTTTCAGTTACTGGGGATACCTGGGAACAAAGAAAGAGTCCTGACCATTTTGAAAAATAATGACTTCATCTTGTTCCTCAGGTTAAGAATGTGGATTCTGGAATTGGTTAAAAACTGGCCTCCAGACTTCCGGAAAAAAGATGGCAGATCAGGTGGAAGTGTAGTGACGAGCTCTGCCGAGAACAACACAGAATACAGGACCAAGAAGGCTCAGGGAATGGTCCCAGTACTCTGAACCACATATAAAGGAATATTTAGAAGGTTGGAAGACTTACAGCTGGAGAGTTTGTGGCAGAAGCAAGAAATCCATTGCTTCCTGGTTTGGGACGCTCAGCTGCTCCAGTAGCCGCCATTTTGTGTGGGGCCAAGCGGGAAAAGGATCAGAGCAGCCAAAGACACCTGACACAGCTGCAGAGATAGAGGTGTAGACATTCTTTTTTTTTCTTTTTTCTTTTTTTGGTATCTTTTCGTTGGTCCCTTGCTGTCTGCGTACCTCCAATCTGGTAACTATAGGAGTGCCTGAGCTAGTGGATACTCCAGCCCCC